CCAGTCTATTTCTCTTAATTGGTGAATTGAGTCCATTTACATTGATGGTTAGAATTGAGATGTATTGACTTACGGTTGACATGTTATGTACCTGTCGTCGTTTCTCCTTTTTCTCCTGTGTTTAATTGCTTGCCCTATTTAGTTGGTTGCTTCTGAACTCATTCGTTGTGTTCTGATCATTTTGGTCCCTCTCTAGAACATCTTTCAGTAGCCTGTGTAGGGTTGGCTTTGTCATCATAAAATTCTTCAGTTGTTCTTTGTCATGAAAGCATTTCACTTCTCCATCAAACTTCAAAGAGAGTTTTGCAGGGTATAGTAGTCTGGGCTGGAATTTGTTTTCATAGAGGACTTTTAGTACTCTGCTCCATGCTCTTCTTGCCTCCATGATTTGTGAAGAGAAGTCGGCCATAATTCTGATGGGTTTTCCTTTGAATGTGATCTGTTTCTTTTCTCTAGCAGCTCTCAGTATATTACTCTTGTGCTGAATTTCAGGGATCTTGACTATTACATGTCTCAGTGTGTTTTTAAGTGGCTTGAGGTTACCTGGCATTCTGTATGCTTCAGTTACCTGAATGTCAGATTGTTTCCTCATATTTGGGAAGTTTTCTGCTATTACTTCTACCCATATTTTTTTAATGTCATTTGTGTTGACTCCTTCTTTCTCATTGATGCCTATTAGTCTCACATTGTTCATCTTTGCATCATCTTGCAGGTGATGGATTATTCTTTCCAGCATCCTTGTTGTTTTTAAGAGATCCTTTCTTACCTTTCACTAGCTGCACCAGCATCTTCAAGATCTGAAACTCTTCACATTCACTTAAACGCTTTTGCAAGCTTGTGATTGAGATTTTAATTTCCTCTATATCTCTTTGACTCTGCTTCATGCGATCTATTTCTTTCCTGTATTGCTCATTCAAGGAATACATCATTTTTCTAATCTCCTCTATTTTTTTTTTATCAATGTCTTCTTTAGAAGGAGCTATAAATTCTTTTACTGCCGTGTTTTTTTCAAATTGGGTTTCCTCCCTATGTTTCTGTAGTTGATTCTTTACTTCAGATGCTATGAGTTCCAAGAATTCTTTTATTTCACAAAAGATTTCTGCTCTGAGTTCCTCCATAACTTTCTGCTGTTGCTTATTTACTATTGACTATTAATTCGTACATTTGAGCTGAGCTAGTGTCCTCTGCATTTGTTCTTGGTGGGCATTGGGTTTCCTCCTTATGTGTCTACATTTGATTCTTCACTGCAGATTTTATTAATTCAGGGATTTCTTTTTTCATTTCCAATTTGAGTTCCTCTATACCTTTCTGCAGCTGTTTCTTTGTTTCAGAAGCTGTTGATTCATTGCTTTCAGCTGTGTGATTCCCAATTTGTTCTGTGTTAGTGTCCTCTGCACTTGTTATAGGTGGGCTTGGTTTCTGAGATTGCATTTTGCTCCTTCTCGTTGTCATTTTGTGTAGCACTGTCTTCTGACCTTTGTTGTAGATCTTTGTTGCAGTTATAACCTTAGCACCTACTGAAGTTCAGGCACAAATCTACAAAGTTTGGATTTATCCAGCTGTGCCTGGCTTGGGTCTGGCTGTTGTGCTCAGTTCCTTCTGGTTGCTGCCCTTGGGGGTGAACCTGTTGTGCCCCTCTCACAAGATGTTCTGTTCCTGGACTAGCTGGGTGGTTCTGTCTCCTATACTCTCTGCAGGGATTGCAGCTGCAGGGTTTCACCCCAGGCCTGTATGCCAGGCCTGAGCTGAGTCTGGAGGGGACAAGGTGCAGTAGAGGGGAGAGGCAGCTCTCTCACACACTCACCAGGCCTGGACTAGGACTGGATCTGGGGGTTTCTGAAACGTGACAGAAATTCCTACTCTGTGTGCGGGGTGAGTGTGTGTGTGTGAGGGGGGTACTATTATGTGATGGGTGGCGTCCCAAGAGGGTGAAAGATGGTGTCACCCATGCTGCGCCTGGGCTGGGACCAGTAGGTCATGCCAGCACAGGGTAGCTGGAAGTTCTCCCACACGCTCACCGGGCCTGGGCTAGGACTGGATCTGGGGGTTCCTGAACGTAGCAGAAATTCCTACTGGGCAAGCGGGGTAGGGGAGTTGCTCCAGAGTGGTGGAGGGCATCCCAAGGTGGTGGTAGAGGGTCTCACTCATGCTGTACCTGGGCTCGGACCTGTAGGTCCTGCTGGTGCAGGGTAGCAGGAAGCTCTCCCACGCACTCACTGGGCCTGGGCTAGGACTCGCTTTAATTTTATTAAAAAAAAAAAAAAATCTTTTTAGAGGCCAGTAAGATAGCTCAGTAGAATAAGCACTTGCCTGGCAAGTGCAAGGTCCTAAATTCAATCCCCGGTACTGCCAAAAGAACCCAAAACAAAACAAAACAAAACAAGCAAAAAACCAAAATAAAAATTTAAAGAAATCTTTTTTATTTATTTATTTTTTTGAGACAGGGTCTCACTATGTGGTTCAGGCTAGTCCTGAATTCACTACATAGCTCTGGCTGGCCTTGAAATTGTGGCAATCAGCCTGCTGGGTGCAGGGACTACAGGCTTGTGCCACCGCACCTAACCTTAAAAAAAACTTAAAATTTCCCTACATATTTATAAGTCTTTAATAACTGTGTGTGAGAGATGCTTGAACATACCTCATTTTGTTTTATTTCTTGGGGGTGCTGGGAATTGAACCCAGAGCCTTACATGTGCCATAGAAATGCTCTCCCACTTCTATGACTGAAGTACACCACCACATTTTTTTTTTTTTTTTTTTTTGGACAGGGTCTCTGTAGTTTGGGCATCTTGAACTCACTAGGTAGCCTGGGCTTCTCTCAGACTCCTGGCAATCCTGCCTCAGCATCCTGAGTACTGGTATTACAGGTGTACACCACCATGCACAGGTTGCCATTCTGAAACAAGGTTTTGCTATGTTGTCTAGGCTAGCCTTGAGTTTGCAACCCTCCTGCCTCAGCTTCCTGAAT